TAATCATTTTAGGAAACAAAAATCTACACAGAGAAAGAAGATCTTAAGCCCAACCCGGCCTGTGGCTCACCTTCTGCTCCCATGAATTACCTTTCATTCTGGGTAGCAGATGCTGGAACTCTTCTAGGGGATAGGCTTCATCCACTCCAGTTAGAGCCACAGCTCCATCGGTGCCAGATCGGGGACCGTCCCAAAGCTCCCGACCGGGGTCTCTTCGAGGCACAAAAAGTATGGCCTTATGTGACGGTAACTGCTTGCCGGGGAGGCTCTGGAGGACCAGAATGCTATCGGGTTCCTGGAATCCACACAGGTACAGGAAGTTGTTGTCCTGGTGGAAAGGGTAGGGGATATCGTTGCTCATGTAGTACGTAGGGTTGGAGAGCACAACCACTGTCTGGTCTGTCCCGCTCTGCCCATGGGCTTCTTTGTGGATCAGAGACATTAGTTTGTGTCTGCGAAGTGCATATTCCACCTGAGACAGTCCTGGTGTGACCTCCCCTAGAAATGACAAAAGCCATGATTTGCACGTCTACAGGGCACTACTCAAGGTAGCTTAGCTACATATACTCAAGTTCATTTCTCCCATCCATGCTAAATCTCCTCCAACCACACAGGAATTAAGAAGACAACCCAGGTTTCAATTTTTCATTTTGCTGCAAAAATTAAAGTTATATGTGGTCATGACTGAAAACTGTAATCATAGCTGATTAAGAATTCTTCCAGATCTCTAGTTGTTTCTTTCTCATCTAATCGAATATTTATGGAACATTACTGCATGCGAACATTGTTAGGCTACACCCAGTCAAAATTGCCCTGAGGCTTCGATCTCTAAAAGGGGTAGAAGGGCCGGGGACACAGCTCAGTGGCACAGGTACCTGCCTGGCAAGCACAAGGTCCTGAGTTCGATCCCCAGTACCGCCCCCCCCAAAAAAGGAAACTAAAATGGGTGGAAGAGTCATATATCTGTGCATGATTTCCCTGAAAGAATCAAGCTCCAGAAGGACACAGACTTTTTTTGTTCAGGACCTTGAGTAATAACTGAAATATAGTAGGCATTTTGTAAGTACTTGTTACATGACTTACAGCTTTGAATGTAAATTAATGACAAAAATCTCTCTCTCATTTTAAGATGTACAATAAATCCCCCCTCTGAATTCCCAAAACATAGTATCATGTCTTGAGTAAAACTTTTCACTTTGTTTTGAGGTTATACCCCATGGGAAGTTCTTTCTTTTCTTATTAATTAAATGTATTGGTACATTTTAGGTGTACATAATGATCACCCATATCACAGGGAATTCGTACCTGTACATGATATAACTTGGTTCTTTTTTTTCCTACTCCCCTCCCCTCCCTTCCACCTCTCTTCCCCTCCTTATTTACAACAGCTTTGTTTCCATTTTTTCCTTTTATCATTTCTTCCTTTCCCCCTCCCCAGTTTCCCTTCCCATTTTACAATACTTACTATACATTTTGGTCCTTATTTACACTTTCAGTTTCTCACATCTGAGAAACAATGCGGTATTTACATGTGTGTCTCACTTCACTTAAGCGTATGATCTCAGGGTGCATCTACTTAGCTAGAAATGTAAGACTTTTCACTCTTCAGCTGGCATTTACAGTGAACTAGGCATACACATGAGTTCCCTTGAAGGCCATCTTGGTACGGGCCCAACATCCTGATACTATCTCTTCACTGCTTGGGGGTGTCGTTGGAGAATCAAATCTGATAAAGCATAGAAGTGAACACCCCTTGTAAGCCAAAGTAAACCTCTCCTCCTTGGAACAAAACAAACCAAACCCAACCCTGAACATTCGCTTGGGATCTTTTGCAAGCTATGGAATCATTCTGTTTACTAAACTGCCATGTAGGCACATACAAACTCTTGACATTAAAGTTCAAAGGTCTCACATGTTCTTAACCACCCATAGCAAGGTGGTGGGGAGGATCCTTAAGAAGCAATGTTAGGGGCTGGGGATTTAGCTCAGCGGCACA